TGAGAAAGGCATGCATTATTTGACTTAATCTCAATTACAATGTGTAAACTGAAAGCAGCAATATTAAGCATATACTGTATACTGTAACTAACAGAACTGATTTACTGTATGTTTGTATGTATAGTAGACAAATTACACAATGGATTAGATGTTTGGTTGCAAATAAGTATCATCATCATCTTTAAAAAAAATCTATTTATTCTTAATTAATTCCTAGCCTGCTTCACAGTCTACTTAAGTTTAATTCTTACAACATAACTTTACTGCTTAAAGTACTTTGTTGACCAGGGTTTGTGTTTTTAGATATTAACTCAAAAGTCAAAATAAATAGTATAGCATGTTTTTAATAGACTATATTGGTATCAAAATATTCAAATAGATGAGTTTAGAGATGTTTAAAAAAACATGAGAGTGTAAGTCAAATTAGAACTGTACATTTCTTTACATGTACAGTATATTACTGGACACCTATAGCAAATTGTTGCCCTAGATTATATGGTTTATATTTTTACAAAATCATTAATTTATTGAACATTGTTTCAAAACAACTGTCAAAGTAAAAAAAAAAAAAAAATAATTAAAAGAATTCAATGCAGAAGTAAGGCTGAGACATGACTTTCTTCTCCCAGTAGACCACATTAAAGTTAAGGATTTAAAAGGAGGGATCAATCTTAGACCTCCTCATTAAAGGACAGTTGAAAATAATAGGAGTAATATGTGGAATTTGTAATTTTTTACAGCCACCCATTTTTTCTTGTTTGAAACGTTTCATTTAGCTGACCTACTTAAAACAGCAAATTGTGAAAGCTGATTTTCCAAACATTGATGGAAACAGTACTGCATCATAATTAGAGTTAATATTAATTAATATTAATTGAAGTGAAAAATAAAGTATTTTTTGCTGTACTGTTGTAAAATAAATCTTCACAGGAAAAAATGAATTTACAGTTTTCTTTGACACCATTGTTTCGCTGAAGAAATACATTTTAAAAGCCCCAGAGTATTTTGAAATCTTCTTTTCTCCTCTGCTAAAAATATTGTTATTTGGAGGCTTTGAGACTGTCAGATTCTGACAGATTTACTGCTGATTCACATTACAATTAAATCTGTCAGAATCTGAAGTGCTGGCACCCAGTATTTGGTATCTTAATAGTAACTACATTATACTCACTGCTTATAATGAAACTTAAGCTCTTTGTGTTTTTTATATCAGAATTAACGAGCCACTCTTTTTAGGGGAAGGCCAAAAAACTGTTTCATGAACATGAATATGTACAGTATATGTTCATTACGTGGTACTGAATACACAATTAGTTCATATTAGTGTTACTCTTAAAATACTCAATATATTTAAAAAGATGTAAAAACCTTTCAGTGGTGCAATGATGCCATTTCTTTCAAATTAATTACTTAGTCTGAAATCCTGATGGATTTCCATAAAGGTACTGTAACAATCTGGGGTTCACGGGGGTATGCCCCCTCGCCGCTGCCGCCTCAGGTCGGTCCCCCCACCGTCGGGGACTCGAACCTGGGCCTCCAGCATCACTCAACAGGGACCCAGCCACTTGAGCTAAAGGGAAATCTCCCGTCAGCCCGACGGCTGCAGTCCCTGCTATTCACAGGGAAGAGCAGTGACATCACCGCGCTGGTAAGCCGGCTAGAACAACCTGCAATGGTGGCCGTATGCGATACAGTACCTAATACTGTTTCTTACAGTCTTCAATAGCAATTCTCATTCATTTGTGTCATCTCTTTACGCAAGAGAATTGTCTGAAATCACTGAAAACAAATTATCTCTAATAAGTAGATTGTTGTCAGAATAAATAGATGATTTCTATCCCAGATATTAATATCATCATACTTGGTAGAAAACCACAGGTATGTAGACATACCAGAAATTTCAGTGAAGTTTAAATCCCTTGTCTCAAAGTCATTAACACTGTTATTCTGTAAGTAACAAAAAGAGGTTAAATAATGTACAGAATCTCAAGTATTTTATCATCACTTTCATATACAGTATGACATGCTCCCTACAATTAACTTATTTTTTTACAGGTCCACTTTTAAAATACCTCCCATCATCACAAACAATTATGTACCTCGAGGGTAAATTCTATGTTTTTATTTTTGTACTGCAAAGAAATAAATATATAAATATGAATTAAGTTTATTTGGTATCAGTTTCATAACAAAGACAGTTAATTGTAATTCTCCGGGCTTTGTGCTGTTTGTTTCAATGGGACCTGAGGGGAGGTGTTTAAAAATTTAACACCCCATGCTCTGTCATTAATCAAATGCAGACAGGTAGCTATTTATCAAATCATTTTACTTTGATGTGCAAATTACATTACATTTCATTTAAAGCAAAATCAGTCTGCATTTGAAAAAATAATAAATAATAGTCATGGGTCATTTGATGTTTTTGGCAGCACAAGGATTTTATTAAGGTGCATCTGAAAGCAAGAGCACTTAAAGGCTTTGGCTACTGTCATTTGAAATCAAGGCTGATGAAATCCTGGCTGCCCTCTGATTACAGGGATTTGGGAAACATAGATTTAGTTTTGTTGCAGAGCAGTTATGAAGACTCAAAATGACTCTTTAATTGGAGGTACTGTTGAATTGCTGCAGTGATTTAATATTTACAAAACTTGTGCTACTTATCAAAGGTTTGTCACATTTTTCTCCCATTCCTTATAATACAGATAAGAATAAAAAGAGGTAGGTTATAATGAAAACCACAAATATTATATACTAACAGGACAAACAATACACCTAATCCTGTTCTACAGCTCTACTTTTTCCTTCGTCATGTAGTCTTGTCTGGAGTTTGTGTACATTTTCTCCAAGTGCTCTGGTTTCTTCTCATCTCCCAGTGATGTGCAGGTTTCTTCTGAATGGCTACTTTGCATTGTTCTTTTCTCCAATACCCTTTAATAGACACATTCCATTTAAGGAGAGAGTGGATGTTTGCGCTCAATCAGTCTATGCTTCTTGGAGAGATTCATGGTAACAACAGTCTTCACAAGGTTAGGAGGCTTTCTAATGATGGGTGTAGCCTTCTCATTTTCTGGAAAAAGCCATTTTATAATAATGTACACATAAAGACTATTTATTTATTGTTTATATGTGTGTTTATAAAGGGAAACGCAAATTCCGAAGTGGGATGCAATGTCACTTTTGTTGTTGTTGTTGTTGTTGTTGTTGTTGTTGATGTTGTTGTTAAGCCCCATAATCAATATGATTGTTCTGCCTTTCAGCTTCTTATTGAAATTGTAGAATTCCTTCAAGAAATGCAAACAAATAATCTTAATCATTGAGGAGTGTGCACAATGTTTTAATGTAATTCAAGACTTTTCTTTCCTGTTTAAACTAACCAGCAAAAGTGTTCAGTCATTATTGAACTTAAGGACTGCGTTCAAGTCAGGGTGTCTCCTCCATCTTACTTACAGGACCAGGGTGTTTTCCATTTATTTAATATGTTCTAATTTTGAGAATTATTGAACATATAGAGTATCAACTGCTCCATGGCATTGGAAGGTCATATCCATTCAAGAACTAGACTATATTAGATCTATCTATACTAGACATTCAAAAACTAGACTATAACTAGATATCTGAGCAGGACAAAAAGTCATAATCCTGAATGTATAGCTCAATCTAAAAAATATGAAAACTGTCTACAGAACAGTAGAGACCCTAAAACCACATAGGGGTGTTAAACACTATGTAAGAAAACTAATACAATGTTAGTTTTACTGGAAATTTTAGTTCTGAGAATTTTATTAAACATTACTTTTCAGGGACTCCTCAGAATGTCCCAATTCTGTTACAGGGCTTGATTTTCATTTAATCTACAAGAACATAAAAAATACTTGAAGCTTAGTGATATATTATTGGCCCATGATAAATGCAGGATTACTTGTATGATTTTTACTTTCTCATAAAAAAGGAACTTTTGTGTTAAGAATAAAAATGTATTGGTAGAGAAATAACAATCAAATGATATGCTATTAGATGCCTAAGGGATAAAATAAATAATTGTACATAAATAGATAATATAATGTGACCTACTTTTTTAGTTTCTGCTGGATACAGCCTGGTGTATGTACTGTACTAATTTTTCTTTTATTAAAGGCACCAGTACCCAGTAATATCTCAGATATTATCTTTACTTTCTATGCTACAATGTGGAGCCTAGGATTATGGAGCCCTGGTTCCATAAAGTGTATGATATAAAAAAATTAGCAGAATATGTTATACCTAACGCAAATCATTGGATTACGAAATGCCAGGATACATGAGTTTGGTTAAATATAATAAAATTGACCACAAAGAGGTATGTTGAACAATGCGAATGTCCATTTTTACATTTTTGCCAAAAGAAACGTATAATGCATTTATATCGTTGATATTGTTGAATAATGACACCTACAGTGTCAGGAGATCTAGATCTTTACTGTAACTGGGATATTACTTTTTTCGAATTCCTGGTGGCCAACGTCACCATCCTCGTTTTAGAAATATTCTTTTGGTGGTTTTGTGTAAGTAGATATACAATAACATTAAACAGTGTTCATAATGTTTAATTTATATTACATTTTTATTTACATTGTGCTCGAGCATGAGGTCGATACGATGGAAATAAGAGTGACTTCGGTTTGGCCGGCTTGCATTGAATAATTTGAATAGGCATTAAACCAAACAAATAACCCGAACTCTTTGAATATTAATTATTTCATTAGTCTATAAACAAAAACTCTATATATGTAGATATGTTCTTTTTTGTTAAAGTGTTGCACAGTAACAGCAAAGATACATATGCTGAAATACACATACACGACACGTACCTACAACAAATTTTGTAAAGAGCATTTTTCCTTACAAGAATACAAAGCAAGAACAAAACTTTAATGCAGATCAAAATCAATTTAAATACACGAAGTTTAAAGAATGCAGACCATCAACCTGAATTGTTTTGTTTCAAGTACAGTTCATGTTATGATATGGGACAGACAACAGTCAATGAGTCAGAGAATACTTCTGCAATAACCTCAGTTTGCTACAAGGGGGCGACGGAATCCTTCCATTTCAAATGTCTACAAACTATTGCATAATAAGAAGTCCTCTACCGCAGCGAAGCAGAGAAACAGATCACAAAGGTTCGGTATTAAGGTAGTAATTTATTACCTGTCGCCACAGCAATTCCATACATTAAAATAATTGGGCACTTCCAAAATACCGGAAGCAGATTTGAAGGTTGTGAATTTTGTAAGTACAAAGGAAAATAATCTGTAACGCATTTTCTCATTTTAAAGACGTGATTGATACATAAATAGAACGTAACAGAGATTCCGTCAAATCTTTATGACTCGAGTTTAGTGTTTAATTAAGTTCGTGAAGAAAATATTTTAGCGTTTAAACGTACTTTACTGCAACAGTAGAGACTGTGAAAATATAGGTGAATTTGGAATAGGTTATGCTATTGAAATGAACAGTTCAATTTTCAAGTGGATGAAATGTGGTTTTCACTTGGAGTAATTCAACGCTTAGCATCTAGAAACCAACAAAGCACTACAACGTGGGCATGCGTGCTCTTTGTAATTCACAGGAGAGGGATCCAAGGCAATAAAATCCAATTTAAAAGCACAGGCAGCAGCTCCCCAGTGGCAACAGGAGGGCGTCTCATAAGCAAACCAAACCTGACATCACATTGCGCTCCGTTACATAGATCCTCCTTACCTCCTCCCCCTTATCCATTTCGAACAGCCTGTAGTCACTTTCACACTTTCTCAACAGCGTATTAGACAGGGGCGGATCAAGGGTTTAATTGAAAAGAAAGGGCTAGCGTGAGAGCTTTTAGACCAGTGCAGGGAAAGGAGCGAAGGAAGATACTCAGCTATATTTCTGTTTAATCAGTAGCGGTGGTGCAGAACAGCATCTCAGTGTTACCTCAATAACAGAGCACTAGTGCTGCTCTTCGAAAAGACAGAAAAACCTCCTTCGCATCATTGATCAACGATGTCCAAGGCAAGAACCTCCACGCCAGGCACACGGGTGTTGCACCAAGCGTTTACAGGCAGGATGGATTGCCAACAATGTTTTTCGCTGGAATGTTTAGAATGAAGGTTTTTGTGAGACGTACAAAGCAGCGATGTCGGTGCCTTTACTCAAAATTGGGGTTGTGCTCAGCACCATGGCAATGATCACCAACTGGATGTCGCAGACCCTGCCATCCCTGGTTGGGCTCAATACCACCAAGCTAACGGCAGCGCCAGGGGGAAGCTTGGACCGAAGCACAGGAGTAAGTCAGGCATTAGCTAATTGTAATAAGTATAAATTGAATATTTGCATGCCGCCTTCCACTCACAAAAATGCACGATTGAATTAAATTATAACGGCGCATGTGTAATAATGGAAGAGAAAAACATTTTAAACTTTTTTTTGTTCTTTTGCACGACCCGTTTCACAGTAACTTTAATGCAATGTGCTGGAGGATTTAACAAAATATTTTTTTTTCCCCATCGTAGTCCTCTTTAATCAATGGAAAGGGAATCCATATACATCAATTCGAGCGAACACTGAGATTTAGTAAGATTTCCAAGAGTTTTTGTTCAGTCATCTATTATTTCAGCTTTCTCGTAGCTTGCTTGCACCGCGGTGTGCTGCAGTTTCAGTCTGCAGCGCACCATAGACCCGCGCTGTAGTTGTAAGAAGGGCACAGAAAGGGCACCTACAGTACTCGTAAAGATTGATTGCGTTATAAGAGAGGCTGAGCAAGGGCACATTAAACCACAGGGTTTCAGCTTGCAGGATTTAAAGACGCCGCCCTTCTTTTTCATCATATATTCCATTTTGAGTTAATTGTATGCTTTTTTTGTATTTCATATTGCACACTATCTCAATAATCTATCAAGAAATCTGCACACTTCCCTAGGGAAATTTAGTGAACATTTTCCGCTGCTGCAAATGTTTTTTAGAAGCTGTGGATTCCATTTATCAGTGTATTTCACAGATATTTCACTTTCGTAATGTTTTATGCTTAAGATTCACTTAATCAGATAACTCTTTTTTAACAGATTCCGATTGCACCAATTTACAAATAAAATGTGAACCGTTCAAAAATCACAAATATGTACTTCCTTAGTGAGTAATCAAAACACGCAATAGCGGAATCTCTCAAATGGATCGAGGTGGATTAAACACTATAGTTCCCATTCCATTTTTTGTGTAACTTTCTTCAAATTGCGTGTTGTGCTGTATTAAATTTGCCATTACCTTGTACGACGTCATTTTGTAAGACACCCGTCGTCGTCCACTTACTTTTTGACTCCTTACATCGACTAAACCATCAATACAGATTAAATCGGCGATCAACAATTTATTTAGAACACTTAATACTCTAATCTATAATTTTGCCTCAGGAAGAATTGAGGTTCCGTTACTGTACATCTGCTGTCAGTATTCTGGAAAGCAGTTGATCCACGGGCATATTTTCATTCACCTAGTGCTAATTTCTCTACTAGTCATTGTCTTTCGATTTAAAGGAAGCAACAAAACCAACTCAGTTATGCTTCCAATAATGCCTTATGTGTATAGCACTATTCTGAAGACATTATGGGGGGATGTGCTTTTGATTTAAAAATCACAAAGAATTTCCTTCGTAAAGAAAATAGAGGAAATATTTTAAAATTAAAATGAGTCTATCAAAAGGCATTGAAACATTTTTGCTAGAATTGTTTTGAAGAGAACTTCAATCATAGTCTACAGATGCCTATTGTTGTTAAATAAATTTGATATATAATACTATTGTATTAAAGGTTCCTTCAGTATGTCTGTCTTTCCTCTAAGGCAAATAGAAGCCTCACCATTTCATTTTGTCTAACCAATCTTTTTCAGTCAGTAAATTACATGTACTGTAATTACATGTCCTGTAATACAACAGATCAGATTTTTTTAATGGTTTGTACTAAAGTTGTGTATTTGTAGTTCTGTGGCATCATCATTTTTATATAATGATAAAAAGGGGAATGTTGATGCTATTATAGAGATACTGTAAAAGGAGCCTAAAACTCAACTACTTATGATACAAATTCTTAAAAAGCATATATGGAAATATGAAAGATCAATAAATGTTTTCATGTCCATTGTCCTTCATTTCATTGATCCACCTTAAATTCAATCCCTGCCTATGCTTCCATTACTGCAAAATCCCCTGATATATATTCTAAATCAAGCTTTGGTGTGTCAGGATGCAGTTGTAACATTACATCATCTTCTTTGTTTACAGAATCATTTCTGTGGAATATACACGTATGGGTTTCTGGTCTCATTAAAACTGTTTTATCCACTAAGCCATCCATTAGGGCTCAATGCAAAATCAAAAACAGGATCCATGAATGTCCAATGATTTAAGGCATAAATGTGTGTTTCTTATGAAACAATAGTTCTGTTCCCTCCAAGTGCACACCCTGTATTCACTCCCTCGTGTCAAAGAATACCACTGATGTTTTCAGCACAGTCTGAAACAAACTTTACACAATAATCGTAAATATGTTCTCTGATCTAAAGTTTTAATTATTTTATTTTTATTTAGTTTGGGATTTTATGAAAAAATGTGTAAAAGATCTTCATATGGCATTTCTTGCCTAAATCATATACAGTATATTGATCTTCTTTAAAGTTCATTTGCTTATGAATATGAAAAAAATGAAATGAAATGATGAAAAAATGACAAAAAAGATGAAAGAATACATCTGATTACATTTTAATTGATTCTGTCAGAGTGGCAGTGAATTGAACTCTAAAAAGATCCATTTGTATGGATCATAAAAAAATAATTTCTCTAGGCATGTATTCCCCTAGAATACAGTACTGTTTATTCTGTTGTGTAAATGTTAGCTAAGATAAATGGTACCTGTAAGTATCCCACTATATTAGAAAACTACAGTCTTAACATGAAGAGAATTTACTCTGTTGTAGTCGATTATCCGGGGTCAGGGCTGCCATACCTGGGGTGGAGCGGTTGCTCTGTGGCTAAGGATCTGCCCCTGTGGCTGAAAGGTTGCTGGTTGAAGTCCCGCAGCCAGCAGAGGAACCCTGCTCTGTAGGATTAAGCAAAGTCCTTAACCCCAGCTGCTCCAGGGGTGCTGTACAATGGCTGACCCTGCACTCTGACCCCAAGCTTCTCTCTCCCTGTCTGTGTGCCTGTGTGTCTCATGGAGAGCAAGTTGGGGTATGCAAAAAGACAAATTCTTAATGCAAGAAATTGTATTTGGCTAACAAAGTGATCTTATCTTATACAATGGAGCTCAAGCCTCCAGATGGTTTTTTACATATTATATACTGTAGATGATTTTCTCCTAAAAGTTATGTAAGTATATTTAAAGAATAAATGATCTTGTAGTTTAGGTTTAAACAGTCCAAACAGAGGGCTGCAATTGAAGCATTGCACAAAATTAACCAAAATCAAAAGTTTATGGAGGCAGAGAAGACATAAGAAAAGCTTGCCACTCACTGTAGCTGATGAGTTACATTTACTACCATGAAACTTACTAAATAAATGTTGTTTATCCTGACCATCCTCTTAATTTCTTGTTTTTTTTCTTATGCTTATTCTACTCCCCTTTTACCCCCCGTGAACTCCTTTGATGTTTTTGTTTGCTTTCCTGCTTTGTCTTTCTATTTCCCTTACTATCTTTCGTTTCTCTGTACTGATGAACACCATTCCATGCCCTCACCTGTGGTACCACCCACCCCTGTCTCTCCCTCCCTTGTGGGACATTTATCCTTAGGTGCTGCCAGCCAATCCAGAGGAGTCCTGGCAGGTGTACAGCTCAGCGCAGGACAGCGAGGGAAGATGTATCTGTACAGTGGTAGCGCCACAGCAAACGATGTGTTCCCGTGACGCCAGGACCAAGCAGCTGAGACAGCTCCTGGAGAAAGTAACCAAGCCAACCTCCATACTGTATCCCATGGGGGATTGAGGGGGGAGGGTGGTTTTATGTAATAGGTCCCCTTGAAAGTAACCAGTTTGCTTAAGCAGGCATTGATAGCATTTATTGTGCATCTGTCCAACTTCTATCAATAATGCTATAGCCACCAATGACCTCATTTGAAGCCTGATCATGTTTACAAGGACTCTCTGTCATTTCTAGACACTTGAGGTTAATGTGTTTTTGTGTCTTGGAGCTTCAAAAAGACAAAGAAGTTATTAAGGGAAGTGTCTGTTTCCTATTTTTCTTTTGCTCTCTTCATGAAAGGGTCCTATTGAATGAAAAAATAACAGGTTTTTGTGTGGAATTTCTCTTCTCTTCATTCTTTATATTAACTCCAGTGGAAAGCTGTGAGATTGAGGCAATAATTTTACACAACTGGATTTGCAACTGAATTACATTATACGATATTTACTTGAATTTCCCCTTACATATAACATATCTCTCTGAATTAAAAAGTCCATTCTCTGGACTTTCAACAAGACTGTATATCCGAGAGATTCATCTTATATACAAAGTCTCACCATAGGAAATTTAGCCAGTTTCAAATTATGTTTCAAGTAGCAAATATAATTAAGTAGAATAAAGTAGTCAGCATATTTTGGTATGTAAATTTGAATAAAAAATAATGTTGGTGTGAATTTCACTTAGCTAGTATTAATAAAACATTTTAACAGCTGTCAGACAAATGGATTAAAACAACATCTACGATAGTTTAATCTTTCTTACATCCGATTCTGTTATTATACTAAGACAATATGAAAATATGATGAGCTGGAACATCAGCTTCATTTTGATTGAATCTGTGGTGATAAGTAAGGATCACTCTGTTTTTTTCAGTTATATTTTACTGTTTCATTTGCTAGTAGTTATTCAGCTCAGTGTAGCAAGTGACAAAATACCATAATATTTTTTTAGATTCTATTTTCCCCTGAAGCTAAACTATTTATTAAAGTACATATGTTTTGATAAGTTTTTACATAGAATTACATTACCCCCTTCAGTAACCAGCAAATACAATTCTAAAGAATATCTAAAATGCCCCCCAAAATAGATATGTTGCTGTTCTATTTGTTCAAGAAGTCTGTGCACAATGAACACAGAAGAACTTGATACAAACTCAGCTGCAGTAGTATATTATACAAGTACTCCGACACAAGTCCTAAAGTGTTAGAATTACTTCATAATTATGCTGTAGTTACAAAATAATACATACAGAGTATGTAGATTTCAATTATTTTTAGTAAATATTAATTCATTTTTAATTTACCATAATATTAAAGATATCAAGTATGATTCTCAACAGTTTAGACTTTAGGTTAGTTAATGAGCAGAACAAGAAAGACCTTGTAGCGAATTACAGAAAATGACATGTGGCAGCATTTTAGAAATTCACCATATTGTTCTTCCTAATGGCCAAAAAGTGCCTTCAGAATATAGCAACCCCTGATTTTTTTCCCTTCTCCAAATACTTGCAAAAAAGCTTCATCATAGCTTGGACAGGCTAGAAACATTAATAAACATGGCAAATAATGAACTGAGTGTAAAGAAAATGTAAAAAGAAATAGAAAAGAGGTGTAAAGAAAAGAGTAAAGAGGTGCAGAATGACAACATTTAAAACTAGAACTAAGTCAGACATATAATATAACTACACTGATGTAGATGACATATGACAAATCTTTTAAATAAAAACATGACTCAGGTAAAATAAGGTAGAAATGTAGTTCAGCCAGATTATGGCTTTAAAAGAAATACAGTACGCAAAAGAAGTGCATTTAGTGTTCCAAATGCATGCATTCCTCTGACATTATCAATGCACTTGCATTCTTACAGTAGCTTCTGTTTGTGCTTTCAAGGTGCAAAACATGACACAGTCCATTGAGGTCCTGGACCGGCGGACCCAGAGGGATCTACAGTATGTAGAAAAAATGGAGACACAGATACGAGGCTTAGAAACGAAGTTTAGGCAGGTGGAGGAGAGTCACAAGCAGAACCTCGCCAAGCAATACAAGGTATGTGATCCCCTGTAACCTCTCCCTGCACTTTTTTAACGTCTTTCACTAAAAAACAATGCCAGTGAGCCAGGGTGCATGAAATGGCATTTATTATGAAATGCCCATCCAGCATAGCACTCTGTCTCATAAAAAAAACTAGAATACAAAAAAAAAGAATAAAAATGCTGACACATACCTGATCAGATTGCAGCCTTTTTGCAATGAAGGGCTTATATACTCCTGTACTAAGTTTTAAAATCAATATGCAGCTTTTATGGAATGCTCCTGTCCCACTATTAAGTCCCATTTGTATTAATAAACAGTGTATGGCTTGAGAGTGTCGTTTACATATTTAAAAATAAGACAATAATAATGATAAATAAAGAGCATTTAAAAATGCATTTGCTCTTTCCAGGTTTTCATGGACTGTGCTATAACTAAAATGATCATGCCCCCTAACAAAACATTATTATATTTAAAAATTATTTGCAACAACATATCAAAATCCTTTTGGGCACAGCAATGAATATGATTTAGAGTACTGTAGTTTTGGCAGCACTACAGGACTTTTTCATATGGGAATCATACTGTAACTAGGAGATGTAATAGTTGCAAATATAACATTCTCCTAATGCCTTACAGGTCTTTTGTATGTACAAGTCTTTTAATCCTAAGAGGGAACCCCTGTTTCAATCAATTCTAAAGAAATTTGGTTAGGGTATGCTGGGATGTTCAGTAGATACTACTGTTACATAGCATTGGGGGAAAAAAAGTCTGTAACTCCAAAGTTTAAAGTTACTTTGGTGTTCCCTACAGTCTTTTTTGATTTTGAAAGAACATACCTAGATGTTGTAGACCTTTACATTTTGAGTGTAAAGGCATGTGAAGTTATCTTTATGATTTTAGACAAATGTTCACCAAATGGTGACATTTTCATCTTTGAAGAGCTTTGTAAAATTCCCTCGTACACCCAATTTCAGAAGTCACTTCTTCTGGTATGGGTTGTGATAACCACAGGCTGCAAGATGGGACAGAGAGAGCATGACTGCTCTCAACCTGGATGAAACTGAATTACTCTCGTAGAGCATTGAAAAAACACCCAACATTTAACTATAAAGATTTTCTGATTCTTGCCATACCAAATGCTCCTGTCCTATGTCATCCCAAAACATAAATTTACAACAAATAACTCTGATCTGATAAAAGAAATTACAGAAATGTATTTTTCTAGGTGATGTAATGTGATGGCTTATAATTGGCTATTCAATGTTCAAATTGCATGAGAGCTTGATAATATTGAAATGTGCAAAAACAGTAGTTCTTTAACTTCGTGTAACTTTTTTGCACTCACAAAATATGGTTTTAAAAGTCATTGTAAAAACATGATGCTTAATAAAAAATGACAGCATTCTGTTAAGAAGTTAATAGAAATTTCACATGGTGCAGCCATGTTCTTTGGAGTTAATGTCCATTCTCTAATCACATAATAAGACAACAGAATCTTCATGATCTTTTTGCACATTTCAAGTCAATATTTAAACTGTATGTATGGTTTTATATGCATGTTGTAAGCCTCGCAATCCTTATGTTGATGGTATGACACAATGTCAACAGATATACATTTCTGGGAATGTACTGGCATTTACTGTACAATATATGTTTATTAGACAGGTTAGTGAGCTAGATCCTTCAACAGTATCTCATTTTCTTGCTTGCAGGGCTAACTTTAAGAAATTTTATCAATGCTGCAGTGACTGAAGATGCAGGTCAATCCATTGTAACCATGAACTGGGCCACAGAATTTTTGCACCATGCAATTTATTTCAAATTAGCACCTTTAACACTAAGGAACCTGACCACAACTGAGCTCTTCCTGCATGCAATTGTAGATCCATTCCATTAATAATTTTTATCTTTTTTAATTTAATTTTTTATTTAAATCTTTGTCAATGCATATTTGATTACTAAAGAAAATCAAAGAAAAAAAACTTTGTTGTATGTGATTTGAAGCATGTAACCCTAAGATGTTGCATTTTAAAATATGATAAATAAAGAGCTTTCCCAATTGTTTTTGGTGTACTGAAGACTGTTTAATACTGCTTGTTATTTATAATACAATATCTGGTCTTAAAGTTTCCCCAGAGTGTTAGGCACACTGCATTCACCTTAGGGAGACAGACAGGAATAGGGCAAGGCAGGGTGTTGTAGATTTTTGCACGCATGACACTGAACCAAGCTTATTTTAACCTTTCAGGCAATAAAAGCGAAAATGGAGGAACTTAGGCCTTTGATACCAGTGTTGGAGGAGTACAAAGCCGATGCAAAATTGGTATTGCAATTTAAAGAGGAAGTCCAGAATCTGACGTCAGTTCTAAACGAACTTCAGGAGGAGATTGGAGCCTATGACTACGAGGAGCTTCAGAACAGAGTGTCAAATCTTGAAGAAAGGCTCCGTGCATGCATGCAAAAATTAGGTAGGCTCAGAGTACACAATAACACATTGGCCACTCAAAGGGTGAGTGGATTGTCTGCAGCTAACACTGCTCAGGAGGACAGATGCCTGTTAAACACTATAGAGCTACATGTTTTAACTATTCTACAAAGTAAATATGGTTGAATTATGCAAAGTTACTGAGACATAATTATCAATGTGTTGCTTCCACTCATCTGCTGCAAAATATACAATTTAACACATTTGCAATATTCTTTCTATAAAATACGATACAGTTGATATTGTCATTGTAATCTGCCATTAATGTATGTACATATATTTTATTAGCTGCACTTCTCACTTCAAGATTTTGGTTAGATCCTGAAAACAAACAACAAACTGTTAACTGTTACCAAAATATTTTAAATGATATACTCCTTAATATAGTTATTTTGACTCTTTGTTTAGTATGAAACAAATACATGAGAGGATTGCAGGTATGAATTATAAATTCTGTTCCATAAGCAATGAACCAAAAACAGAAAAATACACAGAAATTCTATTTTCTGTGTGTTACATGTGAAATTAAATATGTAATTACTATAATCTTCAAAAGGAGAAGTGCGATTTTAACTCAAGGATTTTGGATGTCATTACAATTAATGCTCACCCAGTGCCATTGTTTGCATGCAACAAATATGTTACGTATAGGAGAATGTTTGAAATAGCATGTTGTGTATTTTTTTATAATTTGTTTTAAGATGGCATCGTTTTTTAGATTTTTGCTCAGATTTACAGATTTAAAACAGAGTAGCTATTCTTTTGACAGGTGTGTCTTCAAGCTTCTTTATTTTTACTTAAGTAGGCAGACAGAAAAAATATCTCATTAATATCTCATTTTATAAGGTGCCAAGCTTTCACTCACCTGGGTCTGTTCTAGTCATAATTAATGAGCATGCCTTTTCTCTCAGTGAGAAAGCAGAAACCCTCCAGAGCTACTGCAAATGAGGCAAGAACCAAGATCTGCCTTTTTTAGAGTCCCAGATCAATATCTTGTCATTTTGAGATATTGCATTTTCTTCTACTTATATAATACACACGAAATACTCTATAAAATTAAAATATATGGTCTTGAAAACCTGAATCCATACACAGAATATTCTCTGCAAAGATAAATAAAGTGATGCATATAACATATGATATTAGATCAGACAGATAGAAAGGTTATGCTTTGCAGGGGTAGTTCATATTTGAGCAGCTCGTTCATTTATTTTATCTTCAGTTTTCCCATTGGCTGTGCCTTATGTGAGCACAAATAGTATAGATGTCTAGGTCTTATATTTTGACAGGAATAAATATCCAGAAAGAAACTTTTAATAAAGAGCCATGTTGATAAAAGACCACTACTTTACTCTTTGATTACAGACAGATTGCTAAGCACAGAAGGAGTAGTTTTCTGGGGAAAAAAGTTCACTTGTGTGACCCACATTTTTATCATAGATGAAGTAAACGATCAACATCTGAAATTTAGGAACCAGTCGTTGGGTGTAAAAAAAAGTAACAGGACAAATGCCTGTTCATTTCCTGGTCTGGGAAATAGAATCATATGACATTGACTGATGTAACTTTTAAGCAACACATTCTTACAATTGTGCACATACTTTGTCTTTGTATCAGTCTCAGTTTTGATCTCTTTGACATTCAGCATCTTAAAATCTAAAATTACATAACAATTACAGCTTTATTCCATGCCGAAAAGAAAAGAAAGGAAACACAATGTTTCAGCCGTGGAGCCTTCTTCAGGTGTGAGGACACCTGAAGAAGGCTCCACGGCTGAAACATTGTGTTTCCTTTCTTTTCTGTTCAGGATGGAATAAACCCATTAACTGTTCCTTTGCAGCCTATGCATGCTGACACAGCTACTGTACCTACGTGAACAATTACAGCTTTTCAGTTTTAACACGACAGCTGCTGGTTAGGCATCCTTTTGTGATCAGTGCATTCTACATACTGATATTCCATAGAATTTGAATAACTAAAACAATTGGTCCTAAAAAATGTTTCTAATTTTTTTATTAGAATTATCTGAATAATTTGAACACCACCCCTGATAAAAAGGTTATTAGGTATAAAAAGAAATATTGATGCAAATGTAAGGCTATAGTACACTTGTACTCACACTTGTGCTGCTACTTCATATAGAGTTGTAGCAAGATTACCACATGTGATATCCTTATTCTGCATTTTGCTCACAATATGCAATTAGACTGGGTTGCTGACAGACTTTTGATCAAGACAGAAGGTGTACAGTATATGCACTGTGTAAAATCTTATCCTTCTGTAGCATGCATGGACTATCTAGAGTAAAAATAATTAAATGCACCAATATTAAAAGTCATGACAATTAGACTTAAAAAATGTTCTGAGAATGATGTGGATAGGTGTGATCTGTGGATAGGCTGACTTGCCTGACTTGGCAGCCCAGTTGAAAACTAATTAAGTCCATCACAGTTTACAATTATGCCAAAGTAAATATTATCAAATATAATCAAAATTGGTAATTAATAATCATTTATAATTATTTATGTGACCGTGGACAGTGCAAACATTTTTTAGGTTCTCTCTAATTCTAATTTTTATTTAAAAAAATACTTTGGTGTTGATAGCCTTTCTTAAAAAAAGAACAAAGAAATGGGAGACATTTAGTGGTGAGGAGAGAAAAACACATTAAACTGGGACTGAGAATCTTTAGTACATGCATAATTGCCTTTTACAAAGTTTCATCAATATCAAACATTCTTCAAGGCAGTACACAGAGAGGCAGACAGTCCTTACAACAATAATGCTGTGCAGAGTAGTGGGTTGAGTTGCTCCATGGCACAGGGGCTTTGAAGAGATTGTGAATCACTTGATGTCTATCTGAGGATTACAAACTTGAGACAAAAACAGTTAGAATGTTAGACTGATATGGCTGACAGAGACGTGATCCAGAGAGTGTAAGGACAGGGCAAGAAAATGTTTTCAAGAAAGCAAAGCTATTGAGAGAAATGAAAATGTTAAATTGAGCTATTACAGTATATGACAGAATTCCCTTGCAGTTAAAAGATGCTAACAGATACGTTAAGTAAGAAAACACAAGATATAGAAGTATTTTTTTCGGTCCACACTGCAGTGTACAGTATACTGTAAATTATGTCAATTGTAATTTTGGCTCCATTTGATCACAGATTCTGTGTAAGGCAGAGCATGTTTGGCCAGCATTAGTTTTACTTAATAGCAGTAATACCAGGCTTTTGGTGCTTGAACAATTAATTATTCACTTAATTATGGACTCAAAGAAAAAAGGTTGTTTTGGGGTTAATTCAACATTTTATATGAGATTAATATAATCCTCATCATATTATCATACTTCTGTTTTTTTAGAGCAGGTTAAGATATGTTTAATTGTGTAGCAATTAACGTGTAATCTCAAATATTTTTCATATCTCAGTATTAACATCTCGATGTTATGTATTCATAACATACAGTATAAGTATTACTATGGAATCTGTATGAAAATGTAAGTTTTATTTTTATAAGAAATGCAAGAGGTAGGCCTTTGCACTAAAAAAACAAAAATTGTTTATTTTTCCATTTGAAAAAATGGTCAATAATTACTACAGCTGCCTCTGCTATTAGTAAACTACAGTACTGTTGATATAGACAGCTTACACTTGTGAAATGTGACAAAAGGAAAATAAAACACACATAGAAGGAGACTCTATCCCTATAAATCACAGCATGGAATTGGGCAGTTTAAATAAGGCCCTGACAATGATTCCAAACACTCCATCCGTTCTGCATGAACACATCTGCTTAGAACTGCTGTGTTAACTGCTCTCAAAATCTGGACAGGTTTCCTGACAAGTGTGAGAACTACGTTCATGTCTGTTCTCTACCTAACGCTGAATTACACGTATTCCCAAATGCTTTCCTAACTTGTTTTTTTAAAGTATATATACATTATAAAACACACACACAATTACACTAACACTGCCATCAGCTATTATTTGTAAGACAATTTGTAAGAGACAAAACACACAAAGAAAGCAGGTACAGTACAGTGCAGGTGTATTCCTATGGATAGTGTATTATCCACCTATCCAGCTACTATCCAGCTATTAAACCTATTACAATTTAACAATTCAGAAAATCATTTTTTGTTTCTTGATCTTAAGGAAAGTTACTAAATATTTTAGACACTGTATAATTAAACCTTTAATTAATGCTGTGTGTTACAATCGTAATGGCCACATAAAAACAATCTGTGGAAATACTGTAGAACAGTAGACAAATGGATGTGCAATGTATATTATGTTCAAAATGCCTTTGTAAAAGCAAGATAAAATTTTGTTTCATACTTGCAGCTTGCGGCAAATTGACAGGAATAAGCGAACCTGTTACTATAAGAGCATCTGGATCAAGATTTGGGTCTTGGATGACTGACCCCTTAGCACCGGAGGGTGATAATAGGGTAAGTTTTGTTAGTGTGAGTGTTCAAGCAACATGTTTCTGTTCATAGTTTCTCTCTCATGCATTTTAAACAGCCTAAACAGACTTATTAGACTGAGACACTACATCAGCAAACTGTTATACTGTAAATAGACTTTGTGCTTTGTTCCAAGGGAGTTCGGTGAGTGAAATATTCTGTATTTTTACTGATGAGAAAACAAACAGCAAAAATATCACCACTGTAGCACTGTTTGTAGTTATATGTCCCAGTTATCATGTCCGCAAGATACAGATTAAATTAAATGGACACTGAAATTACGTTACAAAAATAAATTAAAAATTAACATTGCTGGAGTAAATCTGCTGTTATTACAGATATAAAAAAATTTAGTCTGTCAACAGCTTTTGGTATTTCCTATTAACGGGTAGTAGAATGTATATCACATAATCATATAACCAACCTACAGTATATGGATATAAAAGTGGGAGACTAATTTGTATTTGATTATTTTAAGTATCAGTAGAATATTGCTTGAATGAATATTATCCACAAATTAAGTATTCTGCATTTTCTAAGTAGGACTGTTTTATAATATCATTTTGAAGAGTGACTAATAAGTACTAGATAATTCCATTGGGGTGTATTTAAAAAACAACTTACTAATGTATTATGACTTTATTACTTACACAGAAAAAACAGAGAGCAAAAAATACAACACAAATACAATTCAGTATACAGTATCTTTTGTTTTTTAAATGCATTTAAATACTATAGATTCCAAAAAGAACAGAAAGCTAAGGTTTTTCAAATAAATCATTGATAGCTTTAGTGCCAAATCAGTGTCTGACTAAAGCGGAATGTTACAAATGGCCTGTCTAAATGGAGTTAAATAGACAGATGGACATACAAGCGCTAAATTTCTGAGTGGTCAGTCAATCAGGCAAGAGGGTTTCAGTTGCCAGTGACAGAAAAAAAATAGATGTAGGACTCTGCAGTTCATATTCTGGCTTCAAAGGAAGCTATTCAGAACAAGCTATGGTTTCAAATTAAATCCTTAGCTTAGAGAGAACCTTGTGTAAAACCTGCAACATGAAGGGCTGAAGCAGGCACGTGTGCTTCTCATTAAAGTGGAGGAAGCTGTTTGGATTATTCTTGGCGCACAGAGCCAATTTTGATTTTTCTGTTCATCCCACTGCATTAGCAGGGCAGCTCATAACAAATTATTCCTCCAATCTGAGCCACTCCAATCTCACAAGAAAACCAAACATAAATCTTTAATTTCCTTTCATGTGCTCTGTGCTTTTTGAAAGCAGGCTCAAGTTTTCCCAGAGCAATGCATGAGCAGAGATACAGTGTAAAAGACACTGTAGGAAATACACATAAGGGGAAAAGATTCAGAATTATTTGGATAAAAACCACTCCCAATCCAGCTGCTTGGAGAACAGAGCTTTTTCAGACCTGTAAACCACTATTACTGTACATACGGTATGTTTTATGGTGGTTATGGTAGAACTCAAGTCCCAGAAAGCAGCCCTCATGATGCTTTACTTGGTTGTATATGGGCACCACACTCCCCAAAACCATTGCCGATCCCATCTGTGGCTCCAACAGAAAGCTATTGGAAAAGTGAAAGCCAGCAAAAATGCAACAATTTGTATAAAGGGGTAATTAATTTGCTTAAATTGTACCACACATACATTATTCATGCGCTTAAGGGGTTTCTGACTTCTTCAGCAGCAGATCAATTACAGTACAACCAAAACCACAAGCAGTGAAGGCTTTCATGTTGAGAAAAACTTAGGGACACTAACAATACACATAGGATTATTAAACTACAGATAGACCCTTGGTCCCTTCTTTATTTAATTGCCTGGAAATGTGCTTCAACAATTAGCAAAAAAAATATACTTTTGTATTTCTGGTGCTGTAAAGACTGAAGATTTTAACGTTTCAGGGTATTTAATTGGAAAACTAAAAAACTGTTTACGATTTGAGAAGCAAATGTACCCATATACTGATTTTATCTGCACAACAATACACCTCATTAATATACTGTACTGTAGGACAGAAAACAACTGTAAAAATAAAATATCAAGCCTCTGGTTAGGTGTAAAATGCTTTGTCCCTTGCAGGTTTGGTACATGGATGGGTACCACAACAATCGCTTTGTGAGGGAGTACAAATCTATGGCAGATTTCATGACCTCAGACAATTTTACTTCTCACCGCCTGCCTCATCCTTGGTCTGGAACGGGCCAGGTGGTCTACAATGGCTCCATCTACTTCAACAAATTTCAGAGCCACATCATTATCAAGTTTGACTTCAAGACCTCCTCCATCAGCAAGTCACGCCAGCTGGACTATGCCGGTTACAACAACATGTATCATTATGCCTGGGGAGGCCACTCAGACATTGATCTCATGGTGGATGAGGGGGGATTGTGGGCTGTTTATGCCACCAATCAGAATGCTGGAAACATTGTGATCAGCAAACTGGACCCCAATACTCTTCAGATTCTGAAGAGCTGGACAACCAACCACCCCAAGAGGAGTGCTGGGGAAGCTTTTATGATTTGTGGTACGCTGTATGTCACCAATGGTTACTCTGGAGGAACAAAGGTCTACTATGCCTTTCACACCAACTCCTCCACCTATGAGTATATTGATATCCCTTTCCAAAACAAATACTCTCATATCTCCATGCTGGACTACAATCCCAAGGACAGAGCCCTGTATGCATGGAACAACGGACACCAAGTTCTCTACAATGTCACCTTGTTCCATGTCATCAGGTCTGATGAGCTGTAGTCATATCCAAAGACCTTCCTTACATCAAATGATGCTAAATGTGGTGGAAACAAATGCTGTAAAGGAGATAACAATAGTGGCATCTATTTAGAAAACAAAATATAGTTAAGGACAGCTGCCAAAAGGTCAAGCCTTTTTAAAAAAAATACTTATGAAATAAATTATTATGACTGTGTTTATGAAGCATTACCTCTACATCTATCCTAGTGCTTTGTGCATAACCATGTAGGCCCATTATGAACTGGAATATCATGTTCATAGTTTGCAGAGGGAAGGGGCACCTGGATCTGCACTAAGAGGTAAACACAGTTAAGAACATTATCAATATCATTGCATTCTTTTTTGACAGCAAATAAAAACATCAACTAAAGAAATGAAGGCAATGACTGTTGGAAGCAAACTGTTAAGGACTACGTCTTTGCGTGTAATATGTGGATCTGTTTTTCTTACTTTCTTCTGCATGGGCATTTTATATCATCACAATCAACTCTTCTGGATGTACTTTGCTACAGTATATGATGCTATAAAAGTTTAAGGGGGGCTAGTCTAGCATTGTATGGGGTTAACTTTCTTTTTCATTTCTTTATGTTCTTGTATCACATTACTGTTGGTGTTGATATATCTGTGCATATCTGTCTTTGTTAGGTTGGATTGTGCTGAAAGAACTATATTGCTCATATCTTTACTGTCTAGCAAAAATGTCACAAGAGAACGTATCAAGTAATGTATCTATGAGTCAATGAATATGTATCCATTGGCTCATTTTTCTCATTGATTTCACGAAGTCTGCTGTTCTGTTGTTTCCTAGCAAGAGATACTTGGTGGCATCTTTATCTGTTCAGCTTACATGAATCTGTATTGTACCTGCAATGAGGTAGTTTGTATTAATAAATGAAGGGTTTTTTGTTCCATACAGCCTTTACTGTGTAGCCTTGTATTACGTTCAGCAGGTTTGTTATGATCTTAAATTAGTGCTCAATTACTAGGAAATGTATAATGTAATTACACATACTAATGCACTGATTAGCTTACATGCAGGTGCCAATAAAGGGAAAATAGAAATTGTAAGCATTTTATACACACTATTATAATTCCATTGCAACCTAAAGAGAGTGAGTGGCAACAATAAGAAGGTTTTCATTTATTTACTTATTTATTTGTACAGTAGTTACAGTATAAAAGATAAGTTGTTTTTAGCATTGTTGCAGTACTTTGTTTGCACCAAGATCCAAAACGTGGTCACTACCATATGATGCGTTCAATACATAATCCAAAATTCAATTATCCTATAAGAAAACAGAAATAAATGGTTGCCAACTGATAAAAAAAAATTGATTGTTTGTGTATGAGGAGCACCATCTCTTTCAGGAGACATTTTTCTGTTTCCAGACCTTAACAGATTTAAGCCAGTACTAAAATTAAAATGGAGCTACAAATGTATATAATATGAGAAAACTTGCCAAGGTGCCCTAAAAACCTGAATTATTGATCACTCTGTAATATATGAACTGCAATCCTTATAATTATTTCATGGGAATTCTTACAGTTCTAAGCAAAGTTCTGAAGAATGCTCCCAGTGGAAAAAGTCCCATAAAACTTTGAAAGCTGTAAAATTCAGATTTCTGAAGAAAAATATTGCAGTTTCAGTTATGAATGCAAAATAAAAAGAACATGCTAAACTCCTTCATTTTGAAAAGTGGCATATTAAGATTACTTTCATACTTATCAAACCACTAATAACAACTGGAATTCTCAGTCTTTACTGTATATTATAATTCTTCCAAAAGCATAAGGGAAAATTACTTCTTGGCTGATTCAATGTTTAGTGCCAGAGATGTCACTCAAATCACAACCTTTCACAAGCATTTTTTGGAGTTGGATCTTTTTTTTTTTACTCCAACAACAAAACAGAGCTAGCTTACTACTGTGTCACACCTAAAAACATTAGATGATCTGGTCGATATGAGGAATTGGTATCATACCCTTTGCACACTGTCCCAGTGCTTTTTTGGCATGTTGCTCTGCCTCTGGGTACTCCAGGCTCCAGGCTTTGACAGGTACAAGATGGATTTGAGCCTGAAATCCAAAGTTTATTTTAATTTTTCTTGAGGAATGATTTTGTATATACTGTATGGACAAGCTTTTTTCATGGGCCTGCATGGGTGGCACATGGTAAATCCTAAGAGAAAGATGTTTTAAACCAAGTGACGTATTGGACAGCAGGTTTTAGATAATGTCAACTTTTTTTTAAATTACCGCATGTAATATGCATGTGCTTGGAAGTGAATTGTATTCAGTTCAAATATGCTTTTCTGACGCTAAATACTTAGCATATTTCCAGGAATGTTAGGACAATCTTTATTCTTGCATAAAAAAGTTTTATATACATGAATACAATTTTAGACCAGGAAATCTAAGGAGGTTGGTGATATAATGTTTTTTTTTAAATGTTTACTTCCTTATTTGTATACCAATTAAAAAGAATGGAGTTACGGTGCATTGTGCAAAGCATAAAGAAACATCAAGATTTATTTGAAAGAAATATGTCTTTCTGGTGTCACGCAGAAAAACAAGGCATTACAAATATCTAAGAATTTCTTGTGGCAAAGGATTGTTACGCTGCGTTTTTCAGGTCCCTACAGTATGCAGACAGTAGAATCCGGAAGGGAGTGCAACAAACACAGGGAGGAGACGACAAGGAACTGGGCAGGTTGACAAACAGGAGTGAGTGACGATGGTGCACTGGTGCTCAGGGGGGCTTGGTCCAGGCGATCAAGTCCGAAGGAGTCCATGGGGAAAACCGGGGTGAAGTCCAATACTCCAAAAAACCATGAAATCCAGGAGAGACGACAACAAGACAAAGTTAAAAACCGGGATCAGGAATGGGATCCGGTGCAGGGAGAGGGAATAAAAACGGGAGTGATGAGGCAAGGAGCTCTGAGCCCCGGACTCAGCAGGGTCAGGATGCCAATAGGAGGCCTGTGCCCTCAAGCTGCGGGGCAGCTTGGTGGTAGGCAGGCCTCTGGGCGTCCGTCTTCCAATGCAGAGCCCGGAACAGAGTAAGCGTCTGGCTTTTAAGAGGCAGATGCACAAAATCAACTAAAATATGAAAGAGCCTGAGCGCCCTTAAGGGGGGGGGGGGATTACAATCATGAGAAGGATGAGCAGCATAAGATTCCAGATAAATTCATCTGCAAGGATAAACAGGGAATAAGGAATAATCCCACTCACTGCTTGGAGGGAAAAAAAAAACATGGGAATTCTCGTAAGAAAAACAATTAACAAAGAGAAACACCCTTCAAACCCCAAGTTAGTAAGCATCAGGCATGGGTAAACATCCACACAAGGGACATGTGCTCAATAGGGATATCTGTCTTTCATCTGTTGATGAAAACTTCATGAATATTCTTCTGACTTTTTGCCTGTCCCTGAGATCTTTGCTCTTATGGAAACTCATCTCTTTTTTTGTGTTTGATTTACTCTAGATATGTGTTCAATGCTACTTTATACTGCTTTGACAAGTGACAATCAGAGACACTGAAGAGAGTTACCTTCCTTCATCGATGCACTATCCTGAATACAGACCACGCCTTTTCTTTCTTTCCCATCTGCAGCAGCGTAGTAAAGATTCCTTTTAAAAAATTAAAGTTGTTAATTCCTTCCTGTCAGCAACAAGATATCCAATACATTAGCTAGACAGAAAGGAAGAGGACTCAAATGTTTACACTAATTGAAATATACAAAATTGACTAAAATAATGAAACAGTCAAAAAAATCTCAATTTATGTATAGAGGATTAATGTGGCTTTAATACTGAGGCTAGCATCAACACACCTGAAGAAGGCTCCATGGCTGAAACGTTGTGTTCTCTTTCTTCTTTTTTTCAGCATGGAATAAACCTATTACTTGTTCCTTTGCATTCATTATATGTTACTTATATAGTAAAATCAAATTTATAGATACATATTAACCAAATTAATGGACGTTGTACATTAAGGGTTTCCTTGATGGCACAGTGTTTGTCTTGTGTAATATAAATGGATTGTTAGGCTTGTTAGGCATGCAAGATGGAGAACGGGACATTGGGCTAAGAGCAAGCCAGTGAGACAAAGACAAGCCATTTGTTTTTCATCTCTGCTGTTGTGCAAGTAAAGTGAAAGAGAATGTTCAGGATATAATCATCAAGAATGAGGTATTGGAAAGAAGCCAAAAATGGCAGGGGCAGAAGTAAAATTTATAGTTAAGACTAGTGCATAGTCTGAATTTATGCAGGAGCACAAGTCAGAAGTGAAGCATAGGAAATGAATGGTCCTCATGAAAAACCTATCCACATGCTACACCAGGGAACCACTGTCATGTAGAGCTTTCTGTCATAGAACAATAACAGTAGGTTGTTGGTAGCATGTTGTGTGAAAGCATGAATTCAGTCCAAATACCTCTACCTATAACATCTGATTATTATATGATAGAACAGAAAAGAGCATTTTAAAACTACAAAGTATGGTAACTGTTATTAATATCTATCGTTTTTTCTTTCATTGCAAACCAACTCTATTTGAAATTCTTTCTTTTACCAGTTTACTGGATGAGATCCTCAGAGTAGCCAAACGAGCTAGGTGGGTTAAATCTGCAACCTTTTATGCTCTAATATTAGTTCTTCACTTCAATTCAACTTTATTGTCATTAAACTTACACAGGTGCATAGTATAATGAAAAGTGTTTCTCATTAGTCACTCAGGTGCAGTATATAAATAGGACAGAAGATAAGACAATAGACAGTTACACAATAGCAATAACAGTAACATGTAATAACATAACATAAATAACATGTAATCAAGTAATCAAAACTGTGCAAAATTCCGCAAACAGAGAAAATATAACAGGACAAAAACAGTGCAAGGTAATTCTTGGAACAGTGCAAAAAGAGTATGGTTAAAAATAGTATAGTTAATTAATAAATATAAAATATTATTATGCCTGTTACAGTTTTACTGGGCTATCGAGGGGACAGTACAATTTCAGCTTACGTGTGTGTGGTGGTGTAGGAGTACAGTCGTTGTGCGTACAGGAAGACGTTAGGAGAGATCATAATATGATGGGAGGGAGTGGGGGCGTCACCAACTTGACAGCTCTGGGGAAGAAGCTATTTTGGAGTCTAGTTGTGTGTGACTGGAGTGACCGGAACCTTCTGCCAGATGGTAGGGGAACAAACAAGTTATGACTGGGGTGAGTGGGGTCAGACATGATGTTGGTGGCTTTTTTCAGACTCCTGGTGTTGTATATTTCCTGGATGGATGGTAAGGCACTGCCGATGATGTGTTGGGCAGTTTTGACCACCTGCTATAGTGCCTTACGGTCGGATGCGGTGCAGTTGCCGTACCAGACTATGATGCAGCTAGTCAGTATGCTCTCCACCGTACATCTGTAGAAGTTCGTAAGGATCAGTGGATGTAGGTGTATTTTCTTCAGCCTTCTCAGGAAGTACAGCCGCTGTTGTGCCTTCTTGATGAGACTGGAGGTGTTGAGTGTCCACGTAAGGTCCTTAGAGATGTGAACACCTAGGAATTTGAAGTTATTCACCATCTCCACCGCAGACCCTTCAATGTAGATGGGGAGTGGACTTTTCCTTGTCTCCTGAAGTCAACAATCAGCTCTTTGGTTTTGCTGATGTTGAGACATAGGTTGTTGGTTCGGTCTTCTGAAGTCAACAATCAGCTCTTTGGTTTTGCTGATGTTGAGACATAGGTTGTTGGTTCGACACCAGTCTGCGAGTTGTTTTATCTCCTCCCTGTAGGCAGTCTCATCATTGTCAGTGATCAAGCCCACGACTGTGGTATCGTCAGCATACTTGATGATGGTGTTTGTGCTGAACTTAGCAGTACAGTCGTGGGTGAACAGGGAGTAAAACAGTGGGCTGA